TCTTCCAGGAAACAAATTTTGCATGCATGCCACACAGCAGAGGAAACAACGTACGCAGGAGGGAAACTTCATCCCTTTAGGAATGTAAATAATAAAAGTGCAGAAACACATCTGACCCAGTGAGTTTTCAGAATCCACAAATAGCAGGGCAGAGTGCTTCTAATACCATGCATATGTCAGATAGTGACAAAAAAAGGAATGAGCTTTAGATAGTACATGGAATGACCTGGAATCAGAGTGTTGGGGACAATGCTGATATACACTGAAAAAGATGTGTGACCCATGCCATCCGTTCTGGCAGACTGGCACATGTATGCTCAGCATGCGATGCCAGGTTCCAGCAAGCCAGCTGTGAAGTGCTCTTCTGGAATTAACCCCCCCTCCTTCACTTCCTCCCCAAAGGTACAGCCACCTGCTGCTCCAGCTGCGAAACAAGCCAGAGAAAGAAACTGGCATCTGATGCACTTGGCAGATGCAACGCAAGAGGCAAAAGAGGGCATGGACGAACCGGGTTGAGAGGAGGAGGAAGAGGGTAGGCCGAGAAGGTCATACGCTACCAGCTGAGTTCAGTTTCTGGGCAAGGTGAATCCAAGGCTAATTTTGGGTAGAAGTTAAGCTGAACTGTCCAGTCAAGGCACAGTTTGCAAAGCTCCTTCCTAAATCAAGAATAGAAGGGGATGTCAGGAGGTCGAGGCAGAGCTAGGCTGGCACAGGCAGATGTCACAGCAGCTGCTGCCTCGCTTCAGATGGTACTTCAGAAGCTCTGTTTCAGAAGCACCGCCAAGTGCTTCAGCATTCAGTGGCCCTTGGCTTGTGGCCAATATCCCCTGAACTCTAAAACAGGTCACTAAGACAAGGGAGGGGATACTAACAGCCCTCCATCACCCCATTTACTGACATACAAGCAGCTCTCAAATGCAGTATCAGAATGGCCTCCTCAAGCAGGATGAAATTTACTGTAAGCAAAGTCTTCTGTTGCTGTGGAAACTATTAAAAATAGATTCTCCCGTGTTCCCTCACCCCCTACACACACACACACACACACACACACACACACACAGAGAGAGAGACTATGATACAGCTGGGTTCCTTCACTCTATGTTATTATTGCTTTTTAATTATGAATAATTTCCTCCCTTGCATGGGAAGATGGATTTCTAAAAAAGCACAAAAAAACTTTCCAAACTGAGTCCCTTCAGGATACATATCAATATGCAAACGAAGGCCGGCATGCATTTCAGAATGTTTATGCCACAGGGTAAACACAACAACAAATCGCTCTGCATTAACTCTTTCCATGCCAACAGGCTTAGCCTGATTTTTAAAAAAAGTCATTGCAGCTCTGATCGTGTTTTTCGGAGGAGGTGGAGTAGTTCTCTCTCTGTGGGTCAAGAACTTCAGTGAGTCTGCTACATTAGTGCAAGATATCATATAATGCAGTTGTGCCCCTGAGTCATTTTCCTTTCCATCTGTATGCTTTCCATTCCAGGGCAGAAACTATACAATACAGAATTTTACAAGACAGTTGGCCCAGTTCATAGTGTTAAATGCTAGAAGAGATCAAAAATTCATTGAGCCCCGGAGCCTCATGTGTGATCATGGCCAACTCATTATCGGAAAATCTGTATCTGCTGCCCATTCTGTTTCATGTTTTTCTCAGTGACCAAATCCACGTAAACCTGCAATGAGATACTTTAAGGCAATTGCAGCTATATGAAAATACATTGTGCAGTTACCCAGTGCAATACCCAGCAGTTAGTACTATTAAGCTCAATGGGTCCTACTTGCAAGTGTGCCCCAAGTTTCAGACACCCAGACTATGGCCATGAATCAAACAATTGAACTGCTCCACGTGTTGTTTTCTGCAGCTCTAGACATTCTGAATATACCAAGTGTGACCATGGATCCTGGTCTCCTTAGCTAAGAGCCAATAAAGGAATGTTCTCTCTCCATTAGTCTTTTTAATCTTCTCTTTTAGGCACGGCTATCACAATATTGACCGGCAGTATTCAATCAGCACAGTCACGTCAATCATTGTGATCACTATGTCTGACTGGCCTTCTGCAAACACAGAGTACCAGACTTACACTGAAATCCAGGCATATCCTCTACAAGAAATGTTATTAGACCCTACAACTCCCTGCTCCTACGCTAACTTTCCTACTTCCCCTATCTAAGGCGTTCAAATGACACTCCTTGCCAAACATTTGAATCAAGTCAAATTTTATCTGGTTATCTTTCTCTTCTGGAAGAAATTTGGTACCCACATGATGAGTGCTTGTTGTTGTTTAGTCATGTCCGACTCTTCATGACCCCATGGACCAGAGCACGCCAGGCACTCCTGTCTTCCACTGCCTCCCGCAGTTTGGTCAAACTCATGCTGGTAGCTTCGAGAACACTGTCCAACCATCTCGTCCTCTGTCGTCCCCTTCTCCTTGTGCCCTCCATCTTTCCCAACATCAGGGTCTTTTCCAGGAGTCTTCTCTTCTCATGAGGTGGCCAAAGTATTGGAGCCTCAGCTTCACGATCTGTCCTTCCAGTGAGCACTCAGGGCTGATTTCCTTAAGAATGCATACGTTTGATCTTCTTGCAGTCCATGGGACTCTCAAGAGTCTCCTCCAGCACCATAATTCAAAAGCATCAATTCTTCGGCGATCAGCCTTCTTTATGGTCCAGCTCTCACTTCCATACATCACTATTGGGAAAACCATAGCTTTAACTATATGGACCTTTGTTGGCAAGGTGATGTCTCTGTTTTTTAAGATGCTGTCTAGGTTTGTCATTGCTTTTCTCCCAAGGAGCAGGCGTCTTTTAAATTCATAACTGCTGTCACCATCTGCAGTGATCATGGAGCCCAAGAAAGTAAAATCTCTTACTGCATCCATTTCTTCCTCTTCTATTTGCTAGGTGGTGATGGGACTAGTGGCCATGATCTTAGTTTTTTTGATGTTGCTGAGTGCTAGTTAGAGAATTATCCAAGAATTGTCCTAGGTTCCAGCTGCCCCGTGATGGACACACAATAAAGGGGGTGGGGGTGGGACCCTGTTTCTCCCAGGCTGATTGCTAAGTGATAAACCACTTCAGAATTCCGCAGAAAGGCTGGTGTGTATAAGGGCACATTTCCCTTCTCTTGCAAACAAGGTACACACAATGGCAGACCTACTAGTAGCTTATGATAAGAGCTACCCCTAGGGTCATAACACTTTAAGAGGGGAGGTGGGTGTACTCACAGCTCTCCCAGATATGGACTGCAAATTCACTCTGATCGGACCTGCCTCTTGAAGAGGAGAGGAGAGAAAAATAAGGGAGGGATACAACATCTACAGAGCAGCTAGCCCTCTGCCCCACCAAACTTACACATAGAGGTGGAAAGGAAGCATACTGCTCCACTCTGTATTACTAAAAACAAAGTAAGGCTGGTTGGTAAGGAACTTTTCTATGTCATGGCCCACCCAGATTTAATTCCCAGCAAATACACTTACATTCAGCTAGACAAATACTGTATTTTTTCATGTATAAGACGACCCCTATTTTTGGGGACTCCAAATTAAGGAAATGGGGGGAGTCGTTAACATTTTTTTATAATACAAAACCTCATCTTATACACAGAAAAATACGGTAGATTCTCACAGACTTTGGGTTAAATTTGGATAATGACAGCTATGTGCATTGAGGGAGGGGGCTTCCCAGGCCTGTGGCTGGGTGGGTGTCCCCCTAATGCACCATCTGAATATTGCAAATTGGTGGGGTGCATCTCAACAGCAGGGGGAAAGTAATTATTTTATTTTCTCTGCTCCTTTTCTCTTCCAGCGTCTGAGGCCTTCTCCCCCCTTCTTGTCCTCCTTGCCGAATGTGTGTGTTTTCAGGCATATGCTGCTGTTAATGACGCTTCTGTCACTTCATCTGCTGGCAGAGATTATGCTATCAGGGGAACCCTCTCGGTGTCAGCACCGAGACTTCCGGCTCTAAATCACCAATGGGGTGAGTCAAGCTGCTGTAGAGGGGGAACCTGGAAGTCATCAACTTTCTGCTCAGTGGGTTGTATGATAATGCCTCTGGCAATTGTAGTCGAGAGGTGGACCTCAAAAACGCCTGCATTGGGCTGATATATTGCTCAGTGCACCAGTGATGAAGTGAGTGGCATAATGTGAAACCATTTTTTTTTAAGCATTTGAATTGGCTGGTTTATTAAATACGCTTTTATTTACTTAGAAGCAAGAAGAAGAATAGGAAGAATAAGAAGTGTTAAAAAAAAGGAGTGCTGTGGGTTTGAGAGAACAATAAGGAGGGCTGACGTTCTTACGATATCTGACAAAAGTTGTTGAAGTGATCATCTTGATGTGGTCATTGTTATTAATTGTTGCTGACTTGAAGTGCCAATCATGAAGAAGGGGGACTCCAAAATGAACATGCCTCCCTTTTACTGGTCTGACCTTCACCGAGCATGATAGTGACTCTATTAAACTGCATTCACACTCACTAGGGGTGTGTTTGCAACATCCCTTCTGAATTCAACCTCATTTCTTCCTGTATCACTCCATTGTTGTTTCAGTAATTGTTCAGACCAGTCTTTATTTACTATTGTTCCACAATCTCCATTCACACCATTTCAGAAATGATATTTTGCCTCCCCCCCTTCTTGTCTTCTTTTTTATATATATATATAAAAAAACCTTTATCATTTGTAACAAAGGCACCTTTTTGCCAAAGCTGCTAAGTGAAAATAAGCTGTTTAGGTGCTCTGGTATAAAGCTGCTTTCAGACTGCAGCACTCGATAAAAACCACATTAAAAATGAAAAGGCAAATGAGGGTACATACACATCACCACCATGGAATCATCGCACTCCCTGTACAGGGAAGGTGGAATTGGAAGTACAATGGGAATTAAGACAGGACACATGATATGATGTGAACAGTGAAAGGTAATCCAAGGTAGCAGTGGATCTTGTAAGAAAAATAAAATGCCAATGCAAACGCCCCCTTGAGATTTTTTTTTTTAAAGCAGCAAACAATGCTTTGAATCAAGAAGACAGGTACAGGATAAGAGATGCAAAGAAATTGCATGCCTATAGCCAAGTGCCACTATGTTCAATTGAATGAAATGCTATCAATTTACATTCTTACAGCATCATGCACTAAGGGAGGAAAGCCTGAGCCTCCTCATATTGCAGCATGGTAGAATCCTACATACACCTGTCTACAGATGCTTCTGGTGCAAGGAACACAATTCAAGAGGCACATCACAATTAGCACACAAACAAGGAAGGCTTCAAATTGATACAGACTCTGGTAATCACCTTAAAGCCCTCTATTTGGCTGGTGAGCTAACAATGCCTTTAAATAATCCTTTTCAATTTGGACCAGGCTCCAGCATGTTTCCTGTTCCAAGCATTCCGGGTCAGTTTCACTCCTAGGAAGACTGCGGCTCAACTGAAAATGACACAGAGAAGGAGACTTTATGGAAGTCTCTTCAGTCCCTGGGCTCCAATCTGGCTCTCCCCACTCGTTTCCTACATTCTTTGGGCAGTGCCCATTCCCAAAGTCAACCAACCATGGCCAAGTCATGGGTGGGATACCTTTTTCAGCTGCGGGTCACATTCCATCAGGGGCAACCTATAGGGCATCACAGGATGCCAGTGGTGAGCAGAACTGATGATGTACGGATGATGCAGCTAATCTGGAATAAAGACTGCCCTACTTCAATTTTCACTATGGCTAACTCCAAATAGAATTCCTAGGCTTATGCAGGTCAACTCAAATGTAAACCCCAAATGTGTCTGTTGGTATCAGTCTCAAATAAGTATGCAGGGGTGCTGTTGTTTTTCCAGTACAACTTGTTAGGAGTAAAGCAATACTGCTTGCAATAAGTTACCTGAACACGGCTAGGGAGGGGTACACCGGACGTAACGTTTGATTCCCTTGCCAATTCCATCTTGTAGATTGTTTTTCTCTCAAGCTTTACTTCTGTCCTGCTTATTCTCCATGTCAGGTAGTGCTGGACCTTCCTTGTGAAAACCTCATGAATCCATGATAGCCACATGTAAGCTTGTACTCAGGATGGCTTAATTTGCCAGGAGTAATAAACCTTCTTTATTCTTTCAACCAGCAGCCTTACTATACTTTCTATTTCTGCACTCTGCTGAAATATATATGTCAAGTTCCAACACAACAGACCAATACAGCTACTATTCAAGAAAGCAAAGGAAAGTAATTCCTTTCTGATTCTAGTGTGTTTCTGATTGTTCTAAAACTACACAGAAACAGGAGAAGAAACACGTTGAAAAATAAGGAGGAAAATAACAAGAAGAGCTCTGATGGGATGAAAAAATGGTGCATCTTCCGGAAATGTTGGGGGCTACAAATAACGAATCCTGGGCCACTAGTTTTTTACCTGTGGCTGAAGGGGTTTAAGAGGTTCAGGTGTGCCAACAGCTAGATACAGCCCTTCCTTCTCTGTGCCAGAAGATGGCAAGCCACACCATGCCTTTTCAGCCTGGCATCTCACAAGCCAACAGTCATTTCCCTTTTTGCCCTGGAGTGAATGGAAACACCCCAGAGGCTAGCCCTAATCGACCCCCTCCCCCCAAATCACCAACACTTCCTGCATGCAGCTGAGAGATTCCGTAGCTGGCAATGGAGAGGGTGCTCTCCCGCCCACGGCAGCCAGTCCCGAATAATGATAAATAAGAGAAACAGAATGAAAATGCCACATTTTTCAAAACGATCTGTCAAAGTGAAACCATGTAATCTAGTTTCATTAGGCCCTGTTGTCCCAGAAATGACTGTGTTGTCAAATAGCAAGTAGAGGAATCTCTCACCAACACCCGGCCTGTCTTCTAATCGTGCCTCGCACCCCCCCCCAACTTCCTAGTAGAAGAGGAGAGGAAGATCTGATGCACGGATACAATTCCAGCATTTCCGCTGTATCCATCATTCGAGCTGGAAGCCTTCAGGGGGCCACAAGAGTGATATATACAAAGACCTTCAGTGCTGTTCTCTATGATTTATTAAAATATCAGCCGGATTAAATTTAGGAGGCCAGGGAGCACCAATTCACAACAGGCGGGGCACAGGAACTAACTACAATAGCGCTGCCAGGAGGGAGGGAAGAAAGGTGAGCTATGGCTCAAAGACAGGTAGAAATAGGTAAGAAAATGACAAGACCTCAGGGACGCATACAGCAAGACACCTGAAGGGACACAACATGCTCCAAATGGGATATTTCTTTAAACAGAGCTTACACATGGTTCCTACACATAAACAGTACCCAAGTAGGAAAATGCTGCACAAATTTGTTCCACATAACAAATAGACTGCTCCACCAGCCAATGTGGGCAGTGAGAATTCAGGAATGTGCAGCTGAATCCACTGCAAATGTCACAGTGATATGTATGTGCGTCAATTACCCTTGTGTAGGGGGGGGAAGGTAATTTCAAATCCCTTAGCATTTGCGAGGCGAAGTCAGCTGGTGGAGCAACCCAGCAAAAGTTGGGTTTGCCTGAGATTTCTGGGGATTACGTGGCAGCTACTAAAACCATGCCCTGGAGGGCTCTCAACAAAGGCCCCTTTTGCTTCTAGATGTTTGGTGGAAGGAAGAAACCAGAGGTAATTAAAGGGATGGGGTGGGGAGAAAAGCACATGAGCATCTTTTGCCCTATCTGGCAATGCCATTAAGGAGGAGGAGAAGCAGCTAAGCCACAAGGAGTCTAAATGCGGAGCAATTTCTCCCAAAGCCAAGATTCGGCTGCTTTACGTACAGCAGCCTACCAGCCCCCACAGCACCCCTTTTGGGCAGGGCACCTGGTATTCGTGATGCATACTGACAGGGCTGGCCTGTGAGCTGGAACTTGGAGGGACGGCTTGACAGACACTGGCCCCCCCCATATAGCAGCTTTGTCAGACTCTGTTGGAAGTTTAGCTTCCTCCGGGCCTTTCATAGCACTGCTAATAAGCTGCTTAAGAGCCTCAGTGGCTGTGTGTGCCCAGGCAGAGTTGCCAGAGGAGGCATGCAGAGTGCCTCATTAAAATAATTAGTCTAACATCTACAGGATAGGAAAGAAGAGAAGTGAAAGAGCATGTCCTCCACTATGTACCAACTGCCTAAATCCCTCAGTACGCGACGGTCAGAGTGGATACATTTACGAAGGCATGTTCGCTCTGTTTCATGCAACCTAATGTGCCCCCTACAGGCTGCCTGCAGCCTCCTCCCCTTATTTAGTTCCTTCCTGGCTCCCAGTCCCTGAGCATCAGAAACCATGGGCGCTCCCAGCCACAAGACTACTACAACTAACAGGTTGTGGGAAAGGTGAGAGGAAAAGTTTGTTTGCTTAAGAAATCCATGCACCACTTTCACAGAAGATTATAATTGATAAAGCACCACTTAAAAGATGCACCGCGGTGATGATAATACATAATGTTTGCATAGCACTTTCAAGTTTCCAAACCACTTCACATGCAATCCTTACAACAAGGTATTTTTGTAGTGTTATTCCCAACAATCCATAATTGGAAGAGGAGGGGAGGGGGCTGAGAGAGAGGTGCTTGACCAAAGCTACCTAATGAGTTCGTGTCTGCAATGAGAATCAAACAGGGGACCACCTGATTGGCACGTAGCTCAGCCTTTTTAGCTACTGCAACACAGCAGCTAAAACACCCAAAAATAATTAATGAGGGCTGAACTCCTCAATCAATTAAAATTTTAGATTAATTGATTAAAAGTCTTTTAAAGTAATTTTTTAAGCCATTCCCAATTAAAGCAGACACTTTTTAAAAAGTTAATTACAGTGGACACTCGGGTTGCGAACGTGATCCATGCGGGAGGCATGTTCGCAACCCGCAGCACCCGCAACGCCATGTCTGCGCACACGGGGGTTGCGATTCAGAGCTTCTGCGCATGTGCAAAGCGCAATTTAGCACTTCTGTGCATGCACGAGCACCGAAACCTGGAAGTAACCCATTCCAGTACTTCCGGGTTTCGATGCCTCCGTAACACAAAAACACGCAAGCTGAAGCGTCTGTAACCTGAGGTATGACTGTATTTTAATAAAATTACTAAAGCTGGCACCCTATCAGGAGAGGCATTCTGCCTGCACTCACACACAAGAAGGGAACCCCCAAGATGGAGCCTGCTGCAAAATATACTTCAGGGGTGACCACTAGCCTCCAGCCCACAATCCTGATCTGTGCTCCCCTACAGATTTTCATGCCTCTCACAAGACACCACTGATGTTGACAGCACTGGGGGAAAGGAAAACAGACACACATTAAACTAGACATGACACTAGATCAGTCCAGCACCCTGATGGGGATTCAAATCGACCCCTCCTGTCATCAGAACAATAAATTGTTGATGAAGGAAAAGACAACAAGTCCCCTCCTCAGATGACCTGTGCACTCTTCCATTTCTGGCCACATCCATCACCAGCATGCGGCTCTCGAAATAGTTGGAGTATGTATTTTTGCTTAGCTTATTACCAGCATGCAATCATGCCAACTATGCCACTAACACCCCCACCCCCGGTCCCTCTGCTACCAACTGCGCTCCTGGTATATGGTTGCAATAAATAGTGACACAATCATGTTCTGCTACTATATGCCTGCTGTCCGCAAGTGTCCAGAGGTAAGATATTGGGACCCCTTTCTGGACATTCCCTTGGGCCAACATTATTCTCATTTGCTATTTTCTCCAGGCCCTAATTGCAAAGACAGAATTGCACAGTTAGCCAGCTATCTTCTCCTTCCTTCCTATGCCATAGAGGGGGGGAAAGCATGACAACGTTACCTGCAGGCTTGGAAAACTCCAACAAGTTTAACTGACAGCTGTCTGTCTAAATACTTTTCAAGCAGCGCTTATTTCTTCCCCCCACTTCCCCAATTCCAAACCATTCCCCTTGTCCAGTTCCTACCGCTGTCCCAGAAATACAAAGAGATTGTTAAATAAATAATGTTTGGTAGGAAGGACAGCTGAGGGACAGGAAAGCCTGCAGCTCTTGCAAGCAGCAGCTGCCAATCAGTGTCACCCTTAATAATGTTTGCGCTGGGCTCAGGCCCATAGTCCCAAAGATGTGGGAGAAGGCTGATGTTTCTTGCACCTAGCTATGCGATAAATTTAAGCAAGCAAAAAGGCCAGTCAGGATTGCATTCTCCCTGCAAATGTGGCCCACCAACCCCACTCCACGCAGTACCAAGAATTAATTATGTCAGCCAGTCTGTTACTATAATCCAATACACTTGCAGGAATTCCAGCGCTTGTGGGAAACAGAATGGAGATGAAGTCCAGCCAAATAAGTGTTTGCTGGTGTTCAAGCAATCAACTCCTTTGCCTATGAGAATTGCAGCTCTGGTTGTGAAGCCCAAGCAGAAAAGGTGAACTGATTTGTACATTTCCCAGTTCAAGAGGTAAGACATATTTGGAATGAGGGATGGCTTCTAAAAAGTGATACTTTTAGGGCTGGGGTCCTGTCTGTGTTGCCTCCCTTTTCCCATTCAAAACTCATGGCCATTTGTAGATGTAGAGAGGGGCAACGCAAGTTGATATATTTTCAACCATCAAGAAGTCAACAAAGGTCATCTGCCCCTTGCTAAATGTGTAGCTGCGTTGGATTTCCAAAATGCCAGCTCAGATCAACTTAACCCCACCAAACTGTTATACTTAGCAATACCATGCAAGGATCCATGAAAGGCTGGCACAAAAGCTTGCAGGCAATTTGGATGATAGCAATGCTCTGGATTTCCTTACCTCCTCTGACTAAGGAATTGTAGTTTCCCTTGATGAAGATAGCCTGCTCGGTGTCATTCTTTACAAGGGTCCACTCCACACTCAAAGACTGTAGCCAGATAACCTTAAAGGCTTTGATCTGGGAAGGAAATTGAGTTGTCCCTCTAGAAGCTGTTAGGCTCCAACTCCCAGCATGGTCAGTGATGAGAGATGATAGGAGTTGTAGTCCAATAAATCTGGCTGGCACCAGGTTGCGGAAGAGTGACACAATGCACCAATCACACCTCTAGTCTCTTTTGTGCAGCACCACTTTACTGGGAGCAGAGTAACCCTCATTTAAACCAACAGGCTTGAAGCTCTGTGCTGATTCGGGCTATTTATGCAACTCACAGGGACAATCTTGCAAAGCTGAACTGGGGACCCTGTGGTTGCCCAGATCTTGTTGGACTCCAACTCTCATTAGCCTCCGCCAGCAAAGCCAGTGATCAGGGATGATGGGAGCTGTTGCACCATCTAGAAGGCCACAGGTTTACCCATCTCTGTTGTACAAGTCTGAGTGACTAGGTTGAGAAAGGAATCATGAATCTGGGAAGAGTGTTTAGATTGTGCATGTGGGTGGATGTGAAATTTATTTCAGTAGGACAAAAAGGAGTGGGTGCAAGGACATTTGGTTGGGAGTCAGTTTTTTGTCTGTTTATAGGAAAGGTTTATAGGGAGGGTTAAGGACAGTGCCAAAACATTGGAATCCATCCTGTACAGGGGCAGAAACAGGGCATGGCGCAGCAGAGTTAAAACACACACATATAAAATGTGAATTCATGAAGCTGCAGTGGAGACCAGAAGCATAAGCAAGGAAGTGCTAATTGGTTTGGACTTCCTTCCCTACAGGCCTGACTGGTGCCTGGCCCTCCTTACCACCTGCTCCCTCGCCACCAATAAATACAGAGATGTGGTCCCTCTCTTGGGGAAGGAAGCAGACCTCAGTCTCATTGTTCTTGGGTTTCCCTACCACTCCCTCTCTCAACTCCTGCTATGCCATTATTTTAACATCACCGAATCCGTTTCCTCTTCCCACTCCCTCTCCCCAAAGGAGTACGAGAATGACAAGGTGGAACTTCTGTGTGATGAAGTGTCCCTGTGGTGGCGATGCAAGGCGCCTCAAGTGATCTATGACAGGGATAAAACCGGGAGAGGGGTGAGGCAGCAATTGGCAGGGGCCGAGTATAAATCGTGGAGCTGACAGGGCCACAGATGAGCTGCTTAGTTTATGGGGGTGGGAGAGGAGAAGACAACCTCTGATTCTGCCCTGGCAGAAGGTATGAGAGCTCCACTGAGAGGAAGGCAGAAGCAGAGACGGCCAGCCAGCAGAGCCACTGGCAAATCTATGAAAAACTGAGAGAGACACACAGAAGACAATGTATGCTGCAAGCTAATACTCTTTTCCCCTTAGGGCCTCAGCAGGAGAGGCTCTGACAAGGACTGGAATCTGCTTTCATTATTGAGGTTCTACATTCACAAAAATGAGTTGTGCAGCTCATTGACAGATGAATAAGCCCTGTCCTATGAGCCTGAGTTTGGACAGAACACTAAGCCGAACCTTGGGCATCTTCACACAGTTTTAGTAAGCCTTAGTTTTGGCTTAACACATCATGCAAAACCATAGTGGGTGATATTAAAGGAAACCTGTTAACCTGAAAAGCCTTTATGGAAACTTTCAGGGGGAATGAGTTGGCCCCATCCTCATGTGAAACTTCTGATGCAACAGTTGCCTTCTGAATGCCTCTTCAATAAACGGCGTCCTGGACAAAACCAAAATAGCCTGTTGCTTGTCCAAACCAATCGTGGTACTAAAGCTTGGTTCTGTGTTCCTGGAAGGGGTCCCAGCCTGATGCCTGTGGAGCAAATTATTTGGGCACATGGCCTACCCACACACACACACCTTGAACTTAACAGGCAGTGACCAAATGCACTCTAGATTGCCAATGCTGACACAACAGAAACAAGATTTACAGTTCACATGGTGCTGTGTTTCCCATTGCATTCCAGAGTTTTCGCTGAAGTGGCTTGCCAAATGGGATGGTGGGGTTCTGTCGCTTACCAAGAAGGAGAAGCAGCGCAGTGCAAACACACCAGCAGAGCACTAGAGTGGCTCCACCAGTGTCTTTGCACTGGGCTGACCTCCCTGTTGCTTCCCCCCTCCTTCCTGATAAGCAACAGTGACCCACCTGCCAGTAAGGTAATGCAGTGGCTCCACCTTACTTAGTGAGGCCCTTCCAGATCTTGTAGACTTCTTTGCTCAGTGTGGAAAGGACTGCTCCCAGCAAGCACAGTAATGGTACTGCAGTCGGGGAGTCCAAGAAGCCCTATTTACAGAACCTCATTCCATGAGAGAGTCTCTCTCGAAGCGTACAGTCTGTCCCCGCATATGCAAGCTGATTTCCAAAACCAACCTGTAAAATCTAGGGCAAAGGCTGGGGGGAAAGAGAAGCAAAGAACTAAAGAAGGGGGTAGTGTGAAGAAGCTTCAACACAGTGTCGAGGGACAGCAGGGGACGTTGCATTTTGCAGGAACAGAGAGCAGAGGCTGGAAAGCAAGGGAGCTGGGAATTTGAAAGTGGGGAAAGCAGCTTACAGATAGGACGCTTCTGCTGACCCAAAGACTCACCAAAGATGGAGAAGTAGGCACTTTAAGGAAAGACTAGGTAGATCAGACAGGTGTAAAGGAAAAGGGGCCTTCATACAGAAGCAGGGGAAAGAAGGGGCTCTGTGCTACTGCTGGGAAGGAGAGAGGCAAGGGAACTGGGAAGTTAAGGGAACAATGGGGCACCCCTCTCTCTTTCTAACACTGCAAAAAATAAATAAATCTACTCTTCAGTTAACATTCTGATGCGTTATCTGGCAATTTCTCATGTACTTTACTTCCTTCTCCCCTCTGTTTACACATATGTTTTGCAACGCAGGCTTGCCCCTGAGGCCTTCTAGCCCGAGCCATTATATAGGACCGAAAAATGGGCTCCCTTGTAGATAGTAGTGCACAAGGTTGTGGATAAATCATAACAAGCATGTTACACAACACAGAACTGGCGTGGGATTTGGAAGGAGTCACCATTTGTTGGCAGAAGAGCTTCAGGAGCTGGAGGAATAAAAATCCAAATAAATAAATACAACAAGATGAAGTCAGCCATCCCTATTCCTGGCCAGAAAATTCGTGTGGGAAGGCTGATTCTACGTGTGAATGCACGCTGCTTTAACCCAGCTTTTCTTCTTCTTCTTCGAAAGAAAACACAGCCACTTGACAAAACAAGAAGCATGTGCTATTGGAAAGAGAAATAGATTACCTTTGCCAACAACAATGTTGGGCTGGTGCTTCTTGTACGGATACAGCAGAGAACAAGCCTTTCGGAGGACAGCACTACAAGCTATGATTATTGTGCAGTAGCAAATATTTTGTATTGCTCGGGTGTTTTCTGCAGCCAAGTGTGAAACTAAGAGTGAAACTACATGGCAGATCTCCTGACATGTTTCTTAAAAACAAACAACCACGAGAAGCAACCACTGTGGGGAAAGTACAGTTGGCTCAGAGCATCAGAGCTGGGGATGGGGTGGGGTTTTACATTCTGCCCCCAAAGCTGCTATTAGCCCTAAGGCAGAATGGAAAGGAAGAAGATTGGGACCCATAAAACTTCTGGTGTTAACCTTTAAAGCCTTTATCTCAAGCACTGCCATAAGAACTTCCCCAAAGTTTCAGATCAGCTTCAGAGACCCCTGCTTTTCTGCCTTGTCATTATGTGAGATCAAACGACCCAGTATAGCAGGCTTCCTTTACCTCGGCCCTCCAGATGTTTTTGGCCTACAACTCCCATCATCCCTAGCTAGCAGGACCAGTGGTCAGGGATGATGGGAACTGTAGTCTCTAAACATCTGGAGGGCCGAGGTTGAGGAAGCCTGCAGTATAGGACGTGAAGCCTTTTCAGTGGTGGTGCCAAAACTCTGCAATGTCTTTAGTACTAGGGATTCCTGTCACAGATCTCTTGCCTAACATATAGTTGTGCCCTAAAATACGCATGTAAGGACACATATTAAGCCCAGATTAAGAGATGTCATGCACACACAAAGGGTGCATATACTCAAGTGGTACATGCACATGGGAGTAACACCTAGGTTTCCTGCAACAATTCATTTATAGTGCTGTCCTGGTACGCAGGCTAAGACCCTACCTGCCCGCGGACTGTCTCACCAGAGTGGTGCATGCTCTAGTTACCTCCCGCTTGGACTACTGCAACGCACTCTATGTGGGGCTACCTTTGAAGGTGACCCAGATACGGCAATTAATCCAGAATGCAGCAGCTAGACTGGTGACTGGGAGTGGCTGCCGGGACCACATAACACCGGTTCTGAGAGATCTGCATTGGCTCCCAGTACGTTTCTGAGCACAATCCAAAGTGTTGGTGCTGACCTTTAAAGCCCTAAACGGCCTCGGTCCTGTATACCTGAAGGAGCGTCTCCACCCCCATTGTTCAGCCCGGACACTGAGATCCAGCTCCGAGGGCCTTCTGGCGGTTCCCTCATTGCGAGAAGTAAAGTTACAGGGAACCAGACAGAGGGCCTTCTCGGTAGTGGCGCCCGCCCTGTGGAACACCCTCCCTTCAGACGTGAAGGAAATAAGTAGCTATCCTATTTTTAAAAGACATCTGAAGGCAGCCCTGTTCAGGGAAGTTTTTAATATTTAGCGCTGTATTGTTTTTAATACTTGATTGGGAGCCGCCCAGAGTGGCTGGGGAAACTCAGCCAGATGGGCGGGGTATAAAGAATAAATTATTTTTATTATTATTAAAGCTCAGGATGATCAGTCATTCATCAGAGGAGTGGGCCAGTCCTCTTAAAATGCCTCCTAGTCTCATGTCCCACCTGTACGCAAATCCTGCCATCCTTCTGTATATGAATGAGAGACAGGAACTGCACACCCACCCAACGCATCTTTTGTCTGAAAGGAAAGGTTAGATGAAGCACTGGAGCAACAACTGGGCTCTGTGGAGCACTGCCTGCTCCCAATGGCTCTATTATCAGGGAAATCAAGACCATTGATTCTTGCTCCAGTATAGAAGCTGGTGTCTGGAGTGGTGGAACTGGGCTCTTTCTGCCAAGCATTAGCAGTTGCATCAGCAAGTAGGAGCAGACTGCCTGGAGGTGGGCACTGACTACAAGCTCACATGACAGGCAAGGGTGGTGAGCGAGAGAAAAAGGAAAGAGGGGCAGTGGGAAATAAAAAAGGGACAGAATGTGCCCCAGATTGCCTGGAGGGATGCTGGGGTGTGTGTGTGTGTGTGTGTGTGTGTCTGCGCGTGCACGTGTGTGTCCTGCCCACGCCTCCCCCACTGATGTGTCACAATGATCGAGTACAGGATGCATGCACTGTAATGGTTTCATCAACTTAGCTCCTTTTTATGAGAAATTTGTTCCGATCGCCCCGCTCTCCCCGGCTGCTGTCACTGTAACGGATGCCAGAGCAGAAAGAATGATCATCGCAGTAAGAAAACTTCGAAGCAGAGCAAGAGACTCCCCTGAGAGGGCTGAGCAGTGGAGGAATGTTGGGGAGGGAGCACAAAATTAAATTGCCTTTACTGCAACCTCTAAGCTCTCCTAAGACCAAGAAACCCAGCAACCCAGGGGCTATTAAACTGCCTGGGGATAAAAGGACCTGAGGAAGCAAGTCAGATTGGCTGCAACATGAAGAGCAACTTGCGACCCTTCTGCTACCCCATCAGTGCAACAGGGCAACCTTGCCAGTTGGATAGCAAACTTGCTATCCAGGATTATCATCCAATTAATCCACCATGTTACCTTCCTTATATTAATACTTCTTAATACCAATTCTTTGATAACCCTGCCAGGTCTTCTCAGTCTGCAGTGAGGGATAACCAGCCTCACATAACCAACATGCTTTAGTCTAATTAATGCATGAAGGAGTTAACACCACAAAATAAGCCATCCTTCCAGGCTTAGTTCACCTTGGGAGGGACTAGGTAATCGAGACTTTGTTCCCCTCCAGTCTACCCGAGAAGCTCAACGTGTGGGAAGGTCTGAGCTGGTTGCTCCAGACTGTATGGCTCTAACAAGCCTCTCTTGAGTTCCTATACCAATAATTGAAAAACTTTCACCACTGTAACTAAGCCAGGTTTTACTGCCTGTGCAACTTTTTTATGAATGCTGTATGGATAATCACATGAACCAGACCTTTGAAGAATTTGTAAGTAAACTAATTTTAACTTACCCAACGTATGGTCTTTTCCTATGTTGGAGGAAGTTTTGGAACTCACAATGGCATATTTTAAAGCCTATATTTCTATGCTTTACTTTGATGCATATTTTGTGATTTTAAATCTCTGCTGGGGTTCTCTCACCAAAGCTTATTTGCTCTAAACTTGGGTCTTGGCATCCAGGAATACCATTTATTTATTTATTTATTTATTTATTTGCTTGCTTGCTTATTTGCTTGCTTGCACACACCGACATACAATTCACCTCTCCATACAATCATGATTTCCTTCAGTCTCTCTGTCCAGCCTTGCTACAGCAGCTGAAAGCCTAAGACTCATGAGACAGAGCTTGATGATGTCTCAGGTTTGCCAATGCTCAGAAGACAAATGTCTGATAGCAATTGTAAGCATTCTGCATAGCTATTCAATATGTTCACAAGTCTACTGCCATCAAGCTATACGTGCATTCATATGCTATTTCAGGCCAACACAGACCAACGCTAACATATTCCAAGTTCAAAGTGGGTCATGAGCACAAACAAAGAGCTAAAAGCGCATAATTCAAACTAAGTGAACCTAGCCACAGAACAAGAAAGTGAGCCAAGTCATTCATACACTACTACATCACATACACCAATGCATCCCCATGTGCACTTATACCCCCCATGCATCCTATCCACCATTTACAAACCTCAAGCGCGCGCACCCCCCCATATGACACTCTCAGTGCCAAAACAGAGAAAACACAGGACTCAATCTCCAAATAAGAACAGAACAGCTGAACTTTTCTACTCCCGTGCCATTTCCTCAAATTAGACTGCATCCCCAAAACTGCTATTTACTCTATTGAAGCAGGGCAAACTGGGCTGGGGCATCATTAAGAGTGTGAAAACCGCATAGTGGTAAAAGATTAAGCACCCTTGCATCAAATCATCTCAGCATACATACCCCAAACCCAGACTGCTTAACACTAAAAATATAGACACCAGGAGATCTGATCACAACCCCTCTACTTCGGCCTTCAATACGTTTCATCACTCCCTTCTCCGACTACAGCCCTTGAGGGAGGACCATGGCTCAGTGATAGAGAACATGCTTTTCAAGCAAAGGGTCCCAGGTTCAATCCCTGATGTCTTCTGGTAGGGCTGGGAATGTCCCCTGCCTGATACAATAAAGGGCCAATGCTAATTAGCAGAGAAAATACTGAGGCAGGTGGACCAATGGTCTCACCCTGTACAAGGAAGGTTCCTACAGCCCAGATTCAACTATCCCGGGGCACTAGCCAGTGCAAGTGTTCCCACTAGGCTTCCCCTTTCTGTTTCGTGCATGCCCTGCACCTCCCCCAAATACGGCAGGGTGTGTGTGTGTGTGTGTGTGTGTGTGTTGTTTGGCAAGCAGAAATGCTGGCGCTGACTGAACGATCAGGCGAGTTTGATGCAGAATTCTTCCCTTAGTTCCGTGTTTTGTAATATTCTCTGATTGTAGATCAGGCTTTCTTCTCCGTGCTGGCTAGGAAATGCTGGGTTGCTACCACCACTACTGCTACACAGCACTGCCAGCTAAAACAGGGGACTGCCCCGTGTTTGGCAAAAAACACAGCCTTGCATGTTGTCACCAGAAGCATGCAACCCAATAGGATGCCAGGACCAAGCCAGTTTGCCATGAAGTACAATGTGCACATGCTGCCATTACTACTGCTGCCTCCACTGCAACCTATTCTACTTTCTATTTTCCTTTTTTAAACATTTTTTGACATGCCCAACATGCACACGTATAAATCCTCCTTCCCCATGCTTGCCAAATACATCAGCATGCTGGGTGGGTTTAGCTGAAAGCCCAGAGATTTAAGGTGTTGGACCAAAGAAAGCACTTCAAAGGCTGAATCTCTGGGCCAAAGCCCTCTCCCAGCTCCTGATGTCTTAGCCCTGATCTTCCCAGTTTAGGCAGATCAAGAGCTAGCATGTGAATTTTCCTTCTTCACAGATTGCTGCTGCTGCATGGTAGCCCTTGAATATTTAATCAGCCTTCATCAACCTGGTGCCCTCCAGCGTATTTTGGATACAACTCTATTCTGCTCTAGCCACCACAGTCTGATTTAAACTCCAATCTCCATTTCTGAGCACACTTCCTGTTCAGAAATGGATGGAACATTAGGCTCCACAAGCTAGCAGTACTGATGAGGCAGCAAAGGCGTTCGGGAGTCTTGGCAGCCCATCCAACAGAAGTGGTTAGAAAAATAACATCCCTGTCCACCCCTCCACCACATACAGGCAGAGCAACTTGGGCAAATCTACACTGGACAGTTATAATGTTATAAAAATGTTATATCCGTTATAAAAATGTGACACCAGAGGGCGCTTTAGAGCAGTGGGAAACTGCACTGAGAGCTATTATTACTTTTTTTACAGCGTTTTTTATAATCAGTGTAGATCCAGCCCTTGTTGAGGGCTTCCCCAAATTTCAGTGTCACGCAGCAAAGAAGAGGCAACCTGCCAACTTGCTTTCCCTGAAAGGACTTAGTAAATGCTTCTTTAAAATAAATGATGATGGTGGTGATGATGATTATGATTTTATGCTTCCTGTCTTTATGGCTGTTTTTAAGGTCAGATAGGATAAACCTACAGAATCAGCAGCTCGCCGCAATCAACGCTTTGGAGTCTTCTTCTCTAATGACAGTCGTTTACTTTTAAGGAAAGGGATAGCGCTGTGATGTTTTTTACTATAACAATCTTCATGTGATCTTTTATATGTATATACTGTATCTGTATAGGTAGATCTTATAAACAAACAAATCCCTGCTTACCAGTTGAAGCCTTGGCAAAACCTAACTCCAGCCATGGCTTCCAATGGAAGACTGAGAAAGTGCCTGACTCTGCCAGAAAAAAGTAAGCAGAACAGCAATGTGAGAGGCATGGGACATGATGAAGTAACCTCCACAAGCCCAGGGCTGTTTGCACATTTCATGCCACATTTCACACTTCTTTGCAGGCATCAGATGGTGCAGACATGCACACGTACACACCCTGGGATGCCCTACACTTATTTGCTTTTCAGGATCAGTGGCCAGTGCCCTTGCGCGCAGGGGATAAGATGGGAAACATGCTGGAATAGTTCAACGGGTGAGTTTAAAACCTCACAAATAAGGTTTTACTTGGGATGGGTGGGGGGAAGCAAAGGAGTTCCTTTTCTGTAATCCTCTGCGTTGATAAAGTCCAGCATTTGGAACTTCATAAAGGACACACACACACTTCCATGACATCCAGTAACACAGGACTTTTCCATAAACAGGTGAATACACTCCTGGCATTATGACATGGGACACACACACACGCCATCTCAGAGTGTCTGCTCTGGATTCCCCTCCCACATCTACAACCTTTATTATTGTTTCTCAATCTGCTGGAGAGAAGAGGAAAAGCTCTCTAGCATTACCCCTGGGCTCTGAAGCAGTCTATAAGCCAGGCACTGACATGTCTGATCATGCACCACGTGATGTCTTTTGCCACATCCATTTTTACACATAGATCTGTCCCCGTAGGTCAGAGCAGCTCACGTTTTTGGCCTGTGTGCACCACATTTACCCTTGGCCAATCCAGTTTTTACGGCAAGCCAGTGGTGGGTGTGCCCATGGGCATAGCCAGGGGGGCAGGGAGGGGCAGCTGCCCCCCAAAATCAATAAAATTAATAAAAATGCATAGCTAACTGAGGTTCTGCCCCCCAACAAAAGGCCTGCCCCCCAACAAAAATCCTGGCTACCCCCATGGGTGTGCCCATTCCATTCTTCCATGCACATCTTTGCATGAACAGACAGAGGCACACAGCACCCACTCCTCGGCTGAGGTAGGGAAATTATTGGTCTCCTTCCACTCATCTAATGATTACCTGATGACCAAGGGGGGTGATTTGCATCCCCAACAAGTTGCTGGGCTCAACCCACTCCAACAGTGTCCACTTTTAAAAAACAATAACAATTATCATCATCATGCTACTTGCTGCCAACAATGGGAAGGCAGGAAAAAAAATGACTTGTGGGCTGGATCCGGCTCCCAAACTTGGGTTTAGCCCCCTCTGCTGTAGATAATCCCAACCAAAAATGGTGGGAGCTATGGTTGGGCTCACTGAAGGGGTGGTATAGAATCATAGAAGAGTTAGAAGGGAACACCAGGATCATCTAGTCCAACCCCCTGCAAGGCAATGCTGGAATCTTTCGCTCAAACCCACAACACTGGAATCAAGAGTCTCATGCTCCTGGTTATGGAGTCTCCTTAGATGGCGGGAATAGGGGACAGGGAAGACAGCAGCAACAACAAATCTGGCGCACGGATGAGATATGCATTTGTGCATCAGCTCATATCAGGGCTCTAAGTCTTCCAAACTAATATGCCAGGTTGCAGCGGTATGATTAAAAATGGCCAAATCATCGGGGAAGCATCTTCATAAAAGAAAAAAGAAAAACAGCTTCCCACACGAAATGGCTCCCACTCAGTTCCATTTTTATAAACTGCAACAGTCGGCTCTTTGTATTAAGCCAGGAGATGGTAAATCAGGAAGCAGAGATGTGCACCATTTTTTTAAAAGATAACAACAACAGAGCAAGTTTAATCCAAAGCAAGACTGAACATTCACCTGCCTGGTATTTTTTCTAGGAAATCATACTTTTCCAGGGGGCTGACTATAATTTAGTGTTCTTCCCCAGTGGCTGGGGATGATAGGAGTTGGAGACCAGCAACATTTGTGGACCCAAATTTGAAGAACACTGGACTACAAAGGCATTTGTATTTAGGCAATGACTGCACTTCCAAAAGTGAGGCCAGACTTCATGAGTGATTTCCTGACCAGATGGAGGCTAGGTATCTTTAGAATCCCTGGGTTTAATGAATCTTGTGTCATCCAATTTGGAGTTCTGAATAGCCCATCTTGGTGAATGTTGCATTTTATACTGTCTTGATATTTCTGATTCTATTAATATATTCATTCCTTCATATAGCTAGTTCACCAGACACACACCAAGCTGTAGTCCACAGCTTATAATTAGATAACCCTAGATAAGCAAGAGTGAATCTGAGTCACCTATAGCAGAGTCGCTCATTAGGCAAATAATATTTTGCTGGTTAAAGTGTGACAGTGGGAAGATATGAAAACAAATTGTTGAAAATAACCTGGGCTGGAATGGTGAAAGGAGATTCAAACTTATGTCCAACTAGGTTTAAAGACTGAGGCAAAAATTTGGTTGCCTAGAAATCAAACCAATGAATATTGAGCACACACTAATTGAATTCCACTTTTGTTAGTAATCAAGCTAAACGGACAATTTGGCATTTGCAAATCTATGCAAACAATCTTAGGCAGTTCAGATGGAAACAAGTTTTAAGAAGTAATTAACAAACAATATGAAATCATTTAAATTAAACATCAATTGTTAGAATGCATGTAAATAGGATTCTGCAGTAGCCTCATGGAACCATGTCACTGTAACCCACTTGGAACCATCAGGATGGAACAACGTAGGCATTCAAACAAGGAAACCAACAGAGGACCCTGCAGAAGCATCTCACACCTGACTTGGATATAAATATCTTGCCCGGGTTCAAAGCCACTCAGCGCAGCAGCACTCTCAGGGCAGAACAGTTCTCCAGTTTCTGCAACACACATGGCCTGTCTGAGCCCTCCTGTATTTGAAGATCAAGTATAGAGTAGCTGGTCCTTTGGGGAGATGAAATCAGCAGCCAACATAGGAGGTATAGTAACAAGACATTTTCAATAGTGGAACTACTATGGAATCTACTGTCCAGAGACATCTGCCTCAGCTCCAGTCTGCACCTTTTTAGAAGAAGAAGAAGAGTTTGGGTTTGATATCCTGCTTTATCACTACCCTAAGGAGTCTCAAAGCAATCTCCTTTCCCTTCCTCCCCCACAACAAATGCTCTGTGAGGTGAGTGAGGCTGAGAGACTTCAGAGAAGTATGACTAGCCCAAGGTCACCCAGCAGCTGCATGTAGAGGAGCGGAGACGCGAACCTGGTTCACCAGATTACGAGACTACCGCTCTTAACCACTATACCACACTGGCTCTCAACACATTTAGGCAATACACCAAGTGATTTTCTCTGATATATGACCCAATCACTTTTGTACTACTT